GCTCAATATGGAAAAAGACTAGAAGGCAATGAACAAAAAGTTGAGATTTTCCATAGTAATTTACATGTAAACTTCAAATGGCTTGTGCGAAGTCTGTATCTAACCAAATGAGTTGTAACTTTGGGAGGCTAATCAGGACCCGATTTGAAACCATTTAAGCACTGTGGAGCGAAAAAGTCAAATTTTGCATCAGTCTAGTGTACAGTTTTAAAGCGCAGAACGTAGTAGTTAGCCGTGACGTGATATTTTTGAGCGAAGACCGAATAATGCTGAGAGAAGCTGATCCTGCCGTACAGGCAACTCCTATCGAAAAAGAGGATGCGGAGGAACATGGCGTTGACGAAGGTGATCACGAATCACTAACGGATGAGGACGAGCTCAGTGAAAGCAACAAATCCGAGAATGGCGACAACGATGATACTTTGATTGATGCGGATCAACAACTTGCTGCGCTCCCTAAACAAATAGAGGACCCACAACAGTTGGTAAGGCGCAGTGCGAGGGAGCGCGTAACTCCAGGCAAGTATCAAGATTTTCATTTGGGTTTCGGTATTCTTCCTCACGTATTCTTCCCAAATTTCCCAGTTACCCAAGGTTTCGGACAATTTGAATGTCGAGCCACAGACGTTCCAAGAAGCGATTATGAGCGATGAAAGCAACCGTTGGAAAGACGCAATGGTTGAGGAGCGTTGCTGAAAAATCAAACCTGGCAGCTCAACGATTTGGCAGAGGGAAGGAAAGCACTCCGCTGCAAATTGGTGTTCAAGATCAAGACGAACCCCGAAGGATCCACAGAGCGATACAAAGTCCGCTTGGTAATCAAGGACTATTCTCATGTCAAGGGCATCGATTACGAGGAGACTTACTCACCCGTGGTCCGGTACTTGATGTCGTTAGCTGCCAGAATGGATCTCAAGATGCATGAGATGGATGCAGCATTTCTGCAAGGTGAGCTGAAAGAGGAAGACATATATATGGAGCAGCCGGAAGGATTTATCACCAACGGAAGTCCGAAGAAGGTTTGCAAGCTGAAGAAAGCGCTGTACAGACTGAAACAAGCCAGTAGAGTATGGAACCAGAAGCTGGATGGTGAACTCAAGCGCTTTGGACTCACGCGGTCGAAGTTTGACACGTGTGTCTATTTCAAAATCGAAAACGAGAAGATTCTCATTGTGGCTCATTGCTCATATGTGTCGACGACCTACTGATGTTTTCCAACAACCAGCGGTGGGTGAATGCTTTGAAGAAGCATCTCACAACGATCTCGGATTGGCCAACAGCAGACCTATTCACTCAATTGTCCCATTAGTATGTAGCACTGCAAAAACTTCCGGTGGAACTTTTCCGACACGGCTGATGTTGTTGTTGTCAATTGTAAACCCCACGTTTAATCGGCTTGTCAGGAATGTATCCTATCTTTCTAATGCTAAACATAACAGGTTTACTTATGAAATTTTGCTGGGATACAACGCAATCGTTAGACAACTCATTCTCCTCGGGGAATGTCTCCTGTTGCTCCATGTAATGCTTCATCTTCGTCCTACAAACCGCCGCTAGATGACCTCTTTTGCTGCAATTGTTGCAAATGCTATTGTGGCAACGACAGTTTGTTCTAATGTGGCCACGTCTGCCACAAACATAACACTCGACTTCTTCACTCGATGATTTCATCTGTGGTTTTTGGCTCCTCGTGTTTCGTCCGGTCCAACCGTTGTCGAACTATGTTGATCTGCTCCGCTTCAACGTTCTTCCGTTCTTCTTCCTGTTCGTACTTCAAAGCGAGCTCTCTGACTTTCTCAAATGTGACGTTTTCATCTTCCTCGCACCGCTTATGATTCTGTTGGTTAGGTTATGCTCAAGATGGTTACCAAACTTGCAATTGGCAGACAACCGCTTGATCCTGGCGATCCACATGTTTACATTTTCCGGTCTTTGTTTGAGACTGTTTATCAAGATTGATACTTTCTTGTTTGTCTTCCAATCCTGCCGACCTAAACCATTCTTCCAATTCTAGATAGAGCTGGAATTAGGGCCTAACAGCTTTTGTAAACAATGACTTCTCTTGGTTATTTCTAGGAATTCAAGACACGCCCACGCAAACCAACATTACCATCGATTAGGAGAAGACATCCCCTACCTGTTGGTGATATTGTTTTGCTTGAGCGAGCCTTGAGTGTCTAGAAATAATCGAGCGAAGTCATTGTTTACAAAAGCTGTTACGCCCTAATTCCAGCTCTATCTAGAATTGTTTCTTGAACAATTGCCACTCCTCCTCTTCCTCATCGAATTTCCGAAAACTCGCCGTACTGGCTGCCATTTTTCTCAATTGCACATCCTCGTTGCCCATATAATAAACACGCACGTGAGTTGATTGCTGAAACAATACTGGCTTTATTGAGAGAGCAAGATTATTGATGTACGAAGTTTGACAACTTTCTATTACCCGGTACTGAACAAATAGTTAATCTGAAAATAATAAGAGATTATATTTTGGTTAAACATAGGGTTTTTTATCTAATTTCCGTCCTACTAAGCACTACCCGCGCTTTACCTCTATTTTTTGAACGGGTTTGTACAAAAAATGGAATATTTCTATCAAAGATGACTTCTAAATTTATTCACCTTTCCATACTTACCGTTGGATTTGATAAAGGATCACAAATTATTGAGATATTGTTGGCGTACAACAATTTGCCATACAATGAAACTACTGGAAGCGGCTCCAGTTCTGATGGAGGAGGCTTTTTGGATAGCGGAAGATAAAGTGTTTATTGTGTTGTATCTTTTGACTATATATTTAAGATGTATTGTATAGTGACCAAGAATCCTCGGCTCCGTTAAGTTAATTCGGTTGAGCCTTACCAAATAAATTAATAAACAAAAAAAAATCTAATACTGTTTCTTGATTCAAAATTCGTCCTACGAGTTTCAATTCCGTCCTAACGCATTGAAACGCAATAAGATTTTCTTCGTCCTATGGATAAAGGTAGAAAAATGGGAATCGCTAGGAGCGCTTCTTTTGTTTTGAGAACAATGAGCGTAAATATTCATACAATGCGCTCTAATGGGATTTATGTTGAAGCTAATGAACTAACGCATCGGAACAAACCTATTATTGATTTGTGCATGGTGAAATCATTGATATTATTGATCTTTTATGATCGATAGTACGGAAATGGGCGATTACGACGAAGTGCGCTCTACCCTATACAAAATTCATTACAAAAACAAACTACGAAATAATAGAAGAGTTAGTTTTCGGCAAATTTTACGTGCTTGTATGATTTGTATGGTTTTGCTTATCTACGTGTTCGGGTTTTTATCCAAACCATTTGTGGAATAGTTCTACCATTTGGGTTAACGTTGATTTATGGTATTTGTTAATTAGGGCTGCTTCACGGATCCGATAAAAACATAGGCTCTTTTTAACACAAAAGCTGATCAGCATTCACAAGCTGCAGCTATGTCGTCGCAGTTAATAAAATCACAAATACAAGTTAATACTTCACTGAACAAAAGCTTTCAAATCTTAGCACAATAAACAACTGGTTTCGTAATTATAGTGACAGTTATCTGATCGATCGATATTCAACAATTTTATGTAGAAAAGAAAAACGAAGTGAGCGGTGGCTCAAAGCCGATAACCGCGTGCGTGTTGACATTGCGTGTCATCAACATTGTCGTGGCCACCTGTTGGATTGTTTTCGATACTATCATCCGTAGAAATTACACCTTAATAATCATACTTCCATGTGAATATAGTACCGTAGAAGCTCGTTCATTTGAACAGCTACGGTGCGAAGAGGAATCAGTCAAACAAATTCTAAATGAGCGCGGTTTGCATTTTTAGCCATCCAATTAACAGGGTTCTACCAACCGGTCAGCACTTCAGTTACCATTTCAGTCATTTGTGATTGGTCCACGTCCCTTTCAAATTGTCTCATTATTTATTAACGGCTCTTATTTAAATTGACGGTGGATGTCAAATTGACGTTTCCCATTCATCTTAGTGGTGCTCAATTTTTATTCGAGTAATGGATTAATCCATTAACGAATCGAAAATTCAATTATTTTAATAGGCTGTATCATGCCAAATAAGCATTAATTTCTCCAGAGGACCCATCGTTTCATATCAAGGTTGCAAATACTCATTTCAGTTTAAAAAATGTTAGCGATTTGCTGAGTGAGTGAGTGATAAATCAACTAGATGACTATAGTTCTGGTTAAGTTCCAAATACTTTAGTTTTAAATTTAAACGGGCAATCGATCTCACTTCACCATAGAACACAAGCAGTTCTGAGTTGTTACAAGCAGTTCTGCATTGCAGTTTGATTTGGAAAATTTACCCGAAATATTCTGCAGATCGGACATACAACTTAGGTAATCTTTTGACGACTTTAAAACAACCTTGACTATCGAAATCATTTTTTTTCATGGATCAACAGGTTGTTGAGGCTGTTTAGTGAATTGAAAACCAATTAAATTGTAACCAATTGAAGCGGACCTCAGATGTAGCCCGTGAATGAAGCATGAAATCTATTGAAAAATCTCTGAAACCACGAGCATAAAAACTGGATTATCGCTAAACCTGTTTCTTTGCTTACCTCCCAAAGTGAGCGGAAACTGCGGAAGGAAATAAATCCACACAGAAAGACGGCGGTGTGTGCTTTTGCTCGCTTCAAAAGGAATTTATCAACTTTTGCTGCCCGTCGTCGTCGCCGTCGTGTTCGTGGTTGCACGCCGTTGCTAACTTTATTATTCCATTATTGCACAAACATCTCATGCCCGGCTCGCGGTTTCCATTATTATTCATGAAGGAGAATGAGCCATCAAAGCAGGCTGTTTCTTCGGGATTTCTTTCGAACTAAAAAAAAAATCAATAAAATCATGACTTGCTTGGTTCCAAAGATTCTTAATCAATGATTCGAGCTTAATGTAAAATCGAAATTGTGCTTTGCCTTATGAAATACTTGTGTGCTTTTGATTCGTGTTGGTGGACTTTACAATCCGGAAAGGAACTTGTCTTTGAATTCATCTGCGCCAGCCTGGTTCAGGTCGTAGCCGGGGGCGTTCTTCTTGCACCGTTCGAGCCAAGCATGCACATTGGGGTACTTGGAGAAGTCGAATCCGGCGACCTCGTAGGTAGCGGCGGAAGCAGCCAGGCTCAGATCGGCAATGGTCAGCTCATTGCCGGCAGCGTACTGGTGGCCCTCCAGGAAGGTGTTCAGGAAGCCGACGGCTTCCTCCATCTTCTTCAGGTTCTCCGGATTGGCAGGCTGCTTGGCGAAGATCTGCGGGTACCAGTAGTCTCCGAAGCGCTGGTAGAATACGCCCATATCGAAGTACAGCCGCTGGTTGACGAGGGCACGCTTCTGGGCATCCTTGGGGTACAGTTTGTCGTCCTTGCCGTATTTCTCGACCAGATAGCTACAGATGGCACGAGATTCCCACAGGGCGAAATCCCCATCGACCAAGGTCGGGATGGTGTGCTGAGGGTTAATCTGCGGAAGAGATACTTGCGGGGTTAATTAACATTGATATTGATGGATTACATCAATCCTGAGCGGTGCGGTGTCGTGACTCGATTGTTTAACAAGTGCAAAACATTCCTGTCGTCTATAGAGAGAAGAGGGAGATAAATAATTACAGTGGTATGCTAATTGGGATGACGTGGCGTTTATTGTTGGTTTGTGGTGATTACAACACTGTAAATAAAGCAAGCGTTGCTCGTCTTCCCAAAATAAAGAAGTGATAGCTGCTGCGATAAGATAACCTCAAAGCTACTGAGACGGTGATTTGACCTTATCGAAAAACGGTCTAGCAGCCTCTGCCCACTGACGATTGGTTTCAGCAGCAGGAGCAATCTTCTGGATTCGGCCGTACCATTCGTGAACGTTTTTATGACTCGAAAAATCATACCCAGCCACTTCGAAGGTCTTCAAAGTTGCCAATACACTCAAATCTGCCAGCGTTAAGCTATCTCCTCCAGCTAAGAATTGTTGACCTTGCAAAAATGTATCCAGAAATCCCAAAGCTTCACCGATTTTTTTGTAGTTCTCCGGATTGGCCGAAGCACCTTCGAAGATCTGTGGATAGTAGTAGTCGCCAAATCGTTGATATAGGGTTCCCATGTCAAAGTACAGACGCTGATTGACCACGGCTTGCATCTGAGGATCCTTCGGATAGAGTTTGTCATCCTTGCCGTATTTATCCACCAGGTAGATCATGATCGCTCGGGATTCCCACAGCGAAAATCCACCGTCTACCAGCGTCGGTACGCAGTGCTGCGGGTTGAGCTTTGAAACAAAAGGATCCTTCAGAATCTTCAACGCTTAAACAAACTCAAATCAAACCATGCACTTCAGTAGCCAATCAAAGATATTTATTCAACTTAACAAATCATAACAAACACACTCATCACTTTTCGAAGTACTTGGCAAACTCCTTGCTGCCGGCTTCGTTAATCTCGGCACCGGGAGCTTCCTTGCGCAGTCGTGTGTACCAGCTGACCACATTCGGGTACTTGCTCAGATCAACCTTGGCGGCGTCGTACGACGACACCGTGGCCAAAATGCTTAGATCGGCAATGGTCAGCTCATTACCGGCCACATACTTGGCGTCCTTCAGGAAGGTGTTCAGGAAATCCAACGCATCCAGCATCTTCTTTTCGTTGTCCGGAACGGGAGCCTGCTTGGCGAAGACCTGCGGGTAGAAGTAGTCGGCGAAGCGCTGGTAGAGGGTGCCCTGGTCGAAGTAGAGCCGCTGGTTGACGACGGCCCGCTTCTGGGCGTCCTTCGGGTACAGTTTGTCGCCCTTGCCGTACTTCTCGGCCAAGTAGGCAATGATGGCCCGCGATTCCCACAGGGAGAAACCATTGTCGACCAAGGTCGGGATGCAGTGCTGGGGGTTGAGCTGTGTTGGGTGGGGTTGGGAGGGTATGGATTAATTTTCGGCGGGATTTAAGAGAAGTGACAACACGTAGACGGACGAACATGGATACAGGATGGATGATTGCAGAGAAATCCGTTTAGCCGATGAAGCGAGAGTGGAGATGTGCGATAGTAGAGTGATAGATTCGAAAGCTGAAATTACTTGAGAAAACATAATCCAAACTTTTAAAAATATATAAGCGTGTGATTGTGGTCGGTTTTTATGAACTTGATGCATATCAGCGAACTTTAGGACAGTTCCATTAACTTCAGAAAAATAACAGAAAAATTATAGAATTCAGCGAACTTCAGAAAAAATCAGGAAAGCTCAGAGCACTTAAGATCAATTTCTAAAACTTCAATGATTTTTCATGAATATTATGGAGTATCAGAAACATTCAAAGAACTTTCAAAAACCTTAGGAAAGTTCCGCGAACTACAGGAAAGTCCAGAAGCGTAGGGAAGTTCATAGACATCAGGGAAATTTTATGAGCTTATTTGAAGATCAGAGAACTTCACGACTGTTTTTGAACTTCCCTGAAGTTTCTTGTAGATCTCGTAAAGTTCCTGGAATTTTCTTGAAGTTATTTGTAATTTCAACAATAATCCAGGAATTTTACAAGATCTTCAATAAACTTCAGAAAATTTCAGGGAAGTTCAAATATCTTCAAAAAAGTTTAGAGAGCTTCTGAAAACTTCCAGGTAGTTTTATGAACATCCAAAAACTTGAAGGAAGTTCCAAAAATTTCAGGAAAATTTTGAGAACTTCAGGTCCGTTAGATTAATTTCAGAAAAATTACAGAACTTTCTCCGGAACTTTTTTTTTTAACTAAGACCAGAACATTTCAAAGAAGAGTGGAATATCATGAACGTCAGGAAAATCGGCGGAAGTTTGGGATTTTTTTTTTGCAAGTTCAATTAACTTCAGAAAAATTGCGGGAACCTTGAAGAAGTTCTGAAAATTTCATGGAAATTCCAAGAATTTAAAAGAAGTTCAGGACTGATCGGAGAACTTCACGAACGTCTAAAACAACATGAACACTCAATCTAGCTCGGCAAAAACGAACACCGCACGGATTAGCTCGGTATTTACTTTTACTGAGATCTCAATTTGATAGCTGAGATCCCAGCATAATTCTCGTTTGTTGGCCAAATCTCAGCGATTTTTTCACTAAAGGAGCATCCATAAATGACGTAGTATATTTTTGATCAATTTTAGACCCCTCCCCCCCCCCCTCGTAGCGTATTTGGCTATATCCAATACATGGCCGGTCACAAATTCTGAAACCCCCACCTCCCCCCTCAAATGCTACGTCATTTATGCATGTTCCCTAAGTCCCAGCAAAATAAAATGCCGAACTAGTCGGCGTTAAGTCTCGATGAACATTCCAAATGGTCCTATCTGCTTTGATCGCTTCTCTTCATCGACTTTCTTTTTTCATAACTGCTATGCAAACAGATTACGCGCTAATTCAACCACATAGTTTGATAAAGGAGGTTCTTATCTAGCGTCCAAAACGTCAAATACAACAGGGAAAGGTTTTACAGTTGAGTTATTGACGAAAGATAAAGTCAATAAAGAGAATCGATCATTGGACCTTTTGAAATGTTTATCTAGAAGTGTGTTGAGGTTTCAAGATCTTAAAAGTAAGCAATAGTAAGTTTAGTAAGTAGAAAGTTCCATTCCAAATTTCGAGAACTTCAATGAAGAGGATCATAGAGGTGCAGGACCGTGCCATTAGCTTTAGAAAAATTTTCAGGAATTTGACTGAAGTTTCCAAAACGTTAATTAAGTTGAAATAAATAGCCATTGGCATATGTTAAACAATTCGATTTTTGTGATCCCAGCTAAGGTCTCCAATTGGTAATTGAAATTTGAACCAGTCTTGAAATGAGTATTTTCCGACTAATTTCCATCACATACATTTACGTGAACATGTCGAACTCATTTTACATGCTTTGCAACAATTGCACTGTTCATGCCAAGGTCAGACAAAATGTAAAATATGACACAGCATGAACCACAAGCTGCGCTGTCATTGTGACGCTGCAATCATGCATAAATCCCCGCCTACTACCCACGTCGCGACAACGAGAATAATGTTGCTAACCGCCCATTTCCAGATCGGGGAAATAATTCACTGCAGTTCCCTTTTCCGCATATTATCCCATTGATTGCATGAATGCCTCGCTTGGCAGCCGACATGCACACAAGCATAAATGTAATTGACAACCAACCCGCACAAATGCACAATTTACATGATCTCCGACCACGTAGCACTCCCACGGTGCTGCTCGAGATTTCACCGAATGATCGGAATGTCGTCCATAAAACCAATCTCCAACCGACCGCGACACGCGCACCGTGAAAACCTACCTACTTTTGAAAATTAAAACGGTGAACAAATCATAAAACAACCGAAAACAGGAAACGGCGGACACTCACTTTCACATTAGGCCGAGTCGTTGAGTCGGATCACGCCAACATCCATCAAATTCTCCAGTTTTTCTCCCCATTACTGTGTTCTTTTGAAATGACTTGCCACAATTGCCCTGCTCGGAGATAAATGATTCGTCGGCTTGGCTTGGTGTAGAACCGACACTCAATAGGCAGGGGATAGACAATGGAGGGGGCAAAGATGGCGTTTTTCAGGCTTTTTTCTCTCAAGATGAACGCATCGGTACGCCAACGTGGCCTACTACTAGTTAGAGATAGGGCATGCAATGAGATTTTTCCGTTTTGGCACGGCACACTGAGAGTCACGACACGACACACCATTTTTTCACATGCACATTTCACAGCACAGGAGGAAAAACGTACCTTGATGAACTCCGGCTTCATGTGCTCTCCGGCCATCAGGTTGGTGAGCTTGAGATTCAGCTCGACGCCAACGGCGGCCGCGGTCATCTGGACGGCACGGCACGGAGCAGATCCTGGCAGGTAGTAGAAATCCATTTCTGTTGGATGCAGACACGGATGGATTAGAAATTGCACAATTGTGTGAACACTTTTCTTTCGCTTCAATACTAACTGGTTTGAGAACAAAACGATGAGGGAGATTCAAAAGAATTCGAACAATTAACACCGTACAGGAACAAGGCACAAATTTTGATCTTCAACCGGCGAAGGGTACGAATCAACTGACGCCAAACGGTCGTCGTTTTTTCGAGATATACGGCTGTGGCAGCGGCAGCAAAAAACACATCCACGAGCCCGGGCAAGTTGGTTGGAATGAGACAGACGAAATCAATAGCCGCGTTCCCCGCCAATGACCCCCATCTGGTGCCCCCCCCCCCCTCGCTCTCCACCTTCCCTTTACGAGCTGGTAGGACGCTGCCGGACAACATCATATCGACCTAAGTGCATGCAACGAGCGAACGAGTGCTACCGGCAACTCCAAATTTGTTTGACCGGCATGTGCCGTGGTGACTGACACACACAGCTGAAAATCTCCGCGGGAGGAGCACAGCCGGCTTTGGAGCTGTGTTGTTGTTATTCGAGCAGTTACCACGCAACGCCCGGACAGGGTTGTAGTTTGTAGTGCATTTATTTTATTATTGATGAGGGCGTCGTAATAAATTAGTGTCTGTTGAATATCCACATAGATCTAGAAAACTGCATTTTCTGCGAAGTGGCTACTCAACATCATGCTCATACAGTCATTTAATATAAATTCCTTATTAATTGAAACGGCTCAAACTACATATGCAACACTATCATTAGGTCGATGTTTCCACATCATTGTGTTGCAATTCAATGAACTGAAGTAGCTACATACGTCGATAGTGAGTGTCGTTGATATAAACCAACCCGATAGTTGATAATTAATGCCATTGACGACGCATCCATAGCATACTACGACCACAACCATAACACGACAATGATGACGAACCGTTGCAATCCGATACCAAAGCAAAGAAGAAAAATTGGCCGTTTGAAAACTCTCGCACCTGTATCTATCACCTATCGTTTTGGAAAAGTTCCGGTTTTTTTTACGATTCGTGTGCGGAGCTACGATACGTTTTCGAAAATAAGTTTCTATGCTCAATAAGCTTGAACAGGTTGTTAGTGTGATTTAATAATAAAACAAAATTAAACCAATTGTTCACTTTAGCAAGGGGACCAATTTGGTTTATGATTGCATCGGGAAAAATCCACAACATATAAACATTTTTTAGGGGAATTTCAACAGTTGAAATACGATGAGCTGGAATTCTAGAGCATTCCAACACCCCTTAATAAAAATTACCATGAAAGAAAGCTTAACGACGTGTTTGAGGTATCATCCAAACCATTTGTGGGATAGTCTACCCATCCGGGATACAGTTCGTTTATGGTACTTGTTTATTAGGGACAGCCATCTGGAAAGAAATGTGACATCATCATGAATTAGTATGATGCTTGCAAATCATTCTCCTTCCCGGAATGGGCGCATCATAATGGTAAATTGAAGCAAGCCGCGATTCTTGCTACAAGCTGGTAGTGGTAGTGATACATGCATTAGGGTGCCAATGAATGTATGGAAAAAAAAGTAAGAGGTTGTATCCAAGACTCGACCGTAGGATTACGTGCTCGGTATCAATATTTGGCGACTATGTTAGGGAAACCACTATTTGAAGGCAATCGGTGATAACTTTGATCACCATTCCAACAGTTGGACATTTGTGTAATTTTCAATAGTGATCTACTAAAAATTAATAAAGTATTCATTCAAGCACCTTTGTAGAAAAATTACCAATCGATTGGTTTGTTTAGAATTAAAATACATCCGCTAATGACAGAGTTATAAGTGGTCAAAACCTGACCACTTTTCGTAACGCGGTTGAATTGGTTTTTTTTTAATAGCACCCCCAATATGTCAGCGAAAGACGTAATCCTACGTCAAAAAGTGACCGTCGAATTTTCATAACCGATTATGTACAAAATGTTTATTTACTCGAAAAAAGACCCTGTGCAAAATTTGGGCTAATCGGACATGATTTAGGGGTGGCGCAAAATTGCCAAATTTCGAAAAATCATCCAAGGAGGATGAAATTTCGGTTTGCGAAAAATAAGATTGTGATGCTAAATGACTTAAGAATGTTATCTGTAAAAACAGTTTTCTTTGTTTGTCAAAAGTTTACTTTCAGGGCTAGAATACGTTTTGAAATGTTTCCAAAGGGTGGTTCATTTATTTTAATGCAAAAATTGATCAAATATTTTCGCTTTGTTTAACAAATGAAGGGCTTTGGATCTTTTGTTGTCCAAAAATGATCAATACGAGATCCTTCCTACCTGTCCACACGGGCGACAATTACTGGTGACAACACTATCATTCAAAAACAAATCGCTTGTGTCGCTCGTAAAATATTCACGATGACTATTTTGCACCGACTGTTATGATTTCACGATTGGCAAGTGTCAAAAGTGCAATTCTTCGGTGCAAACGATGTAGGAATTTGATGCTCCTGAATCCACATTTTGCTTTCCTATTGATGTATTAAAAATCTAATATTTTTAGGTGGTTCTATAATTTGTATTATGTGGTTTATTAATGTAACTAGAATGTACAGTTGAAAATAATACTGTCATCTTATTCTGGGTCGTTGTCTTGGTCAGCCTGATATATTTAAAAAATATTTGAGAGATGTGACTTGAATTTATGGACAGTTGAAGATCTTCAAAACAATATCTGATCAACCTGAAGTCTTGAAAAAATATCCAAACGACTTTATGGATATCTCTGATCAACTGAAGGCCTTTTGATATCTTGAGAGAATATCACAAAAACGTGACTTGAATTGATGGACAGCTGAAGATCTTCAAGACAGCTGAAGATCTTTTAAGACCTGCGGTCTTAAAAAAATATTTGAACGTGATTATGGAGATCTTTATTCTACTTAAGGTATTTGAAATATTTCCTGATATCTTAAAAAGTATATCTGAGAATCGGGACTTGAATTTATGGACAGTTGAAGATCTTCAACAAAACAATATCTAACTTCCAAACCTACCATAGAATTTCCGAGATATTCATCTAGTTCACCAAACCCAAATGGGCTGCAAAATGGTGAGTTGACCTGAAAGGAGCGGAATACCTAGCTCTGGTCCTCACAAGCCTCCACGTGTCATATCACACCATACCACTTGAAACATGGACACAACTGAGGAGTTGGAGACGGTGAAATATGCCGTTTCCTACCTCATCCTACTTCCTTGTAATCCAGTGGAAATTCTTCAGTAAAATTTAGACTTTTTATATACTCACGATACAACACTTTGGGAATTGGTACTGCAAGTAGAAAACGAGAGCAGAAGTCTACGTTTGCCATTTTTGAAGAAGGTCGATACATAATTTCATAATCGTATACCGTAAGCTCAAAAACATAACGTTGCAGTCGTGGAAGGGTTGATGCATATATTATGTCACGCTCTAGGGGGGAGGGGGTCTAAGATTTTATGACAAGCAATGCATTAGGTATAGGAAAAACGTCACGATAGGAGGGGGGGGGTAAATTTCTCCTCGATTTAGCGTGCCATAATTAATGCATGGGCCCTAACCAAAATTTGATTCTTTCCATTCTTCCCAAAACTTCCAATTACCGTTTTGTGATCTGTGTATATGTCAAACTTCTTCCCAGAAAGAAATTTATGAAACTTCTTTACTGCACAAACAATCACCAGCGCCTACAAATGTAAATAGGATACTTCTTCTGTGCGTCATTTAAGCTGAAAGACGTATCACAGAGAGCGGCCTTCTCCATTTAAAATATCAAAACCAACAATTGAAATGGCCTTAACTCCATTTTGTAAACAAACCTTGTAAGGCCATTTTCTCGCGAACCGAAGTCCGCAAAGGCAAACCAACATAATGAACAGGTAGGGGGAATTCTCCTCTACCCGTTTGTGGTTTAGGTTTGCGAATGAAGTTTTCGGTTCGCGAGAAAATTGCCTTACAAGGTTTGTTTACAAAATAGAGTTAAGGCCATTTCAATTGTTGGTCTTGATATGTGACATTACGCCTCCTAGTCCATAGCTGCACAGATAAAAATTCTGAATTTTAATTATGATGTAAACATTCATTCACGTATAGACTTGTATTTCATTTCACGCAACCGAGCAACTTGCAAACAATGTTGTTTACAAAGATGGGCTTTTGCATAGAATATTTGCTATATTGCATGAAATGTGTCATTTGTTTACCTGTGCACCAAACTTTGTTCGTTATAGCTTACCACCACATATTAGTTTTTGTATATTTTTCAATGCTTCATGAATTCGAGGGACATATTCTCAATTATTATACCTACCTAACATAACATTTGAAGGGCCTATAATCTTTCGAATGAAGTGTAATGAAGAATATCCGTCAAACACTTCCGAAAACATTTTTTGATACAAAACAGTGTCAAAATCTAAAGAAAATTCGTGACGTCCCCTGGGTAGCAAACTTGAATTAATGAACTTTTTATTTATCAGAACAACACTATCAGAATGAACAACCAGGGGAAGCTCATAAGTTTTCACAGGCGCACCAGCGCAACCATCGGCAATTGAGAGATTTACAACTGACAAGAGAGTAAAAGCGAGTTTTTGCGCTCTCTTTCTCCATTAAGCTGGGCTTAGACAGGGCAACTCAATTGATCAAGTCAGTTGAATTCAACTGACTTGAACGCGAATTGAACGTGTAAACCATGCCATTCAACTGACTTGATCAACTCACTTGAATTGAAAAAATTTGGACCAGGCTCAACTTTTCAAGCCAATTGAATTCAACTGAGTTGATCAATTTACTTGAATCATCTAAACCCAGCTTTACTCTCTTTGCCTGCAATCAGATATCGAAGAGCACAGCGAGAAATGCACAATTTGGGCACCCATCCATCACAAATCTAGACCAGCAATTCGAATAGGCGGAACAACCAAACGTAAACAATGGCTTTAAACGCAAATTGCTCAAGAATCAAAACATTCCCTTCGGAAACTAACAACGCCATTCGATAAAGGAAGTTTGCTCTATGGTGTGAACAACAATCAATACGAAACTATCGATTTGAAATTGGTTCACTACTTGACTAGCCT